TGGTCCCAAATGCCAAGCTTGATGATGTTTGAACTGACTATTTACTTTTCCAGGTCAACATATTTTCCAATACATTGAAACTGTTCTGTGGCCACCTGTCCATAACGCTTGCATTTGCATCTAGAGTAACAATTCCCCGTGCAACTGCATTTAACCAGCTCGTAACGGGCCTTCGATGCTTCAAGTATAAGTGTCGTTTTCGCGTCACTGTCCGTACTACACCATCTGTCACTCGCCATCCATATTCAGCAAAGTCACGAACAGTTTGCCATTGGTTAAAGATTGGCCCTAAAGAGGCCTAAAAGCAAAACGTAAGTTTCTATCAGCTGCACCTGTGTAGGCTTTGCCTATGCAAGAATTTTTAGCTCTTTTGTGATTCTATTACAGGGCACAATGCATTATTGCAAAACGTCTTCACTTCAATCGTAATTGCATATGCAAGTCTTCAAACCAAGTGGCATATAATTTGTTTGTCGTTGGCTACATTACAGTTACACATTTAGAACTTGAAATTGGTGCAGGGCAGTGGTATTGCTCATGTCAGTGGTTTCAGGAAATAATTAGCACTAACAATATTTAACAAGTCCTCCTTGTTGGTGGGAGGCAGGTTTGAAAATGGAGGGAAAATTCAACACCCATAACAAATCATTTTGAAAAAAGGTCTGTTGTTTTGCAAAAGCGTCCCTGAGGCCATGAATCTTCTTCGTGAACAGCATTTTCCTACACTCATCTATTGTTGATGGCCGACAAGTAAGATAGAAAAGCAGAATAAACCTCTCAATGGACTGAACATCATCCTTAGTAAGGTCTCTAGCGTTACCCTACGACAGCCCAGATAAATAGAAAATACTTTTATAATGCCAGGGGAAGCTACTAACGCACTAAGTCAAGACAGTAATTTAGTTTCTAGCTACAGCAATAAAATTGCAACATTGATTAGGATACCAAAATGAAAACAGTTTCTGTAATACCAAGGTTTGATTTTCAAAATCCCATCATGTATCCCATTCAAAATCCCATCCAAGAAAGCAAAAGTGTCGAGGCTTATTAAAATGCAAAAAGTGACATGTTAGGGTGGGGGCTTATGATGTTGGATGTTTTTATTAAAAAAATTTACTTCTAGGTTGGGGGCTTATCTGTTAGGGGGCTTTTACAAGGAGTGGGTGGGCAATTCCATTTTTTTACATACTCACGTTTATATGCACTTGACTTTGTCTGGTATAGGAAACTTGTTATATTTCATGATTTTTTGTACACATTTTCTACGAATCACTCGACAAATATTTCGGTTTGGGAGCCACAAATACTTGATTTAAAAGTATCCGATTACAACATTGCCTGAATTTGACTTTGGAATGGAGGATAAACCAAGTCTTTTCTTGGGGATATAATGCAAGGCGAACATTCTATAAAGGGTTGAAAGTGAAGCATATTTTTGTATCTGCTATGGCCTAAAAATCACGTACACTATGACATCATCAAAAGGAAAAATCATACTGTGGAATTAAACCAAACTGGAACTCGTGTGATTCGATCTTTTATCAATTCAAATCAAACAAAATGTCCAGTTCCTTTGTTGATCTCTAAAAAAAAGCTCTTAACAAACATTTATATTTCGAACCTCTGTAATTTGAACTTTTCGTAGTTCAATCAATTTTGTCCTTCTCCTCAAAAAATAACCTTTCTAGCTAGATCTTTAGTCTTTCATTGCATTGAATTTTCTTGAAATTGACTTTATTGTAATTACTGGAGGGTATTTAGCCTAAGTCATTTTTTGGAGATGAAACGACTAAATTGAATTATCTTGGCCTGCACAGTGCCGAGCACTGAAAAAGATAACAACACTGCCTATTTTTGTGTTGCATTTATATCAAAAGACTGAATTAGCACTGATTGAATAAGTTAACAAAAAAAGTATCCTTCTTACAACTTTTGTGCAAGCTGCAATTATATGGATTAAGGCTGTATATAACTGATGTAGGGATAACTGAGGTGAAATAATTCAAAAACCTCACCATGTTAATCGAGCATTTTGTAATTCCAAAATTTTGACGGTGCCCCTGACAGCTCGAATCACACTGAGTTGGCTGTATTAAAAGTCGTCTTTATTCTGTCTTTCAGGTGAAAAGATTGAACTGGCCACAGTCAAGAAGGAGGATTTTCGAAAACATACAAGGTACTCACTTCTTTTTACTTGTTTACTTTTCGAGCACCTTTCCATGCCGATATATGGACAGATGACCTCGAAATCGTAATATCGACGACGGCTTTGTGGCCTTGATATAGAAAATAAGAAGGTCGAAACATGAATGATACACGCACTACCTTTGCTAGCTTGACGTCGACAACCGCAATGTTTGTTTCGCCAACAACAACGGCCAATACGACATTGACTTTCGCCAGGAATAGCGGCAATGCGACGGCTCCGCTCGATATATTCGCTTTAGTTTGCATGTTTCTCCTCTTTGTGATCGGTGTTTGCGGCAACTTGTTTACGATCGCCATTCTTAGGTTCGTAAAGAAAGGGCCTGCGACGGCGTACGACCTAATGCTGATATCACTCAGCGTAAGTGACCTTGTTTGTGTCATTGTTGTGCCTGCGATGTTCGCATACGGAACACTTACAAATTTCCAAAGATGGGATTTCGGAATGGTAGGATGCAAAGTTCTGCTGTCAGTTTTGCCTATCAATGTAACTATTTCGCAATGTATTCTAATGCTCATGTCTGTCGATAGATATCGCGTAATTTCGAAACCATTTGCTCGAAACGGCATTACGAAATCGCGTACGATCGTGTGCGTGATCTCATTTGTGTTCCTTGGGACTCTGCTAGCCGGGCCTAAATTTCACGCATTGGAGCTTCATTCAGTCGAAGGTTCGTCAAAGCAAATGTGTAATCCAGTAGGCCACAAAAACCTCTATACGTTGTCCTACGCTTTTACCATGTTCATTCGCGACATCGTGTCGACAACGATTATAGGGATCACAGGACGCAAGATAGGCACGGCACTAGTCACAAATTCAAACAATCTGGCAAAACATGGCTACATGGGCACGAAAATGGCCAATAGACTTGATCATGTAAACAGCACGCGTCGAATGCTGCGTTTAATGCTGGTTGTTTTCAGCGTCTGTACGATTCCGCTCGATACTTTTCAACTTTGCTTTTACATTGCTTTGCAAGTGGACGGAGCAAGCGTCAACGCGCAAGTTTTCGCGTGGCTTCGCAGTGTTAATACAGTACTGTATCTCTTTCAAACATCGAATGCCGCTGTAAACGTTTTCATCTATGGAGCGCGGCATCGCGACTTTCGTCCGGTTTTGGAGAGGATCGGCGCGGCAAGAAGATCTTTGTTCCATGCAATTTTCTCCTGTGCCAGTGATGGAAATCTTACTCAAAGCCGTCAAAGGGGAAACATATTTGTGCATGTTTCACGACAGCAAACTGTTCCAGGTATGGAGATGGTTGCGCTCAACAACGATGTCGTTTCTCAGCGCGCTTCAAGTCGGTGACTGACTATGTCGACGATTTTGGAAAAATGATCACCAAATGTAATATTTATTGAACAGTGTTGCCCTAAAAGACGGACTGGAAGCAGTAACAGATTTACTGATCGAGGCGAACATTCATCTTTTTTTCATTTCACTTTTTGATTAGTGCGGATAAACATATGAAGATGCCTAGAAATATGTAGTTCGAAGATGCCTGGAATTAATAGCAACATAAAGTTTTAAATTATAGTGGTATTTATTCAACCATTAAAGGTGGCATTAACATGCATTTCTTAGCATTTTTATCAACTGTGATTATATAGCAATGATAATGTTATAATGTTATAGCATGATATTTGATAATGTTATTGCAAATGAAACATGCAAAGAACGAGGTTTCTGTTCTGCCTTCAAGTCTACAACGTTCAATGACATACAGCCTTTGAAAAATCTCATACACAATGTACTTTATGCCAACAACAACATGTCCAAACTGAAATTGTTTTTCTTTATAGATTACCAGAAAAAACTTCTTTGCGGTTTGAAGTCATAAAGAACTTCAAAATAGGAGATGGTTGTTCATTGTTTAGTTTGAAATTGCACTTCCCCGTTTATATTCTGTTTCTGTCTCTTCGTATAGTGTTTTCAGCTTCTAAGGCCCTGTTCACACGATACCGGATTCATTCCATATCGGATTCACTGACCCAATCCAATACAAATAGCAAGCTGTGGATCGTGTGAACAGGGCCTAAATCATCACAGAACATTGAACACTTACGAACACGCTTTTTTTTCTCAATAATGATCATACTATTTCGTATAATGATTTGCTTTTGAAGTCAGACAAATGCGTGATGTTTGTTGCTCGTTAGAGTTTTCTTTGCATTGAAATATTGAAAACAGTAAAACAGTTGAGCCCACCTTTTGTAATGAGTATTTTTAAATGACGTTCATCAAATCAACCATTAAAAAATCCAAATAACTTGGTCCACGTTATACCTAACCAAGCAGCATTTGGATCCAAAAGTCTAATGTCCATCGGGCCACAAACTTGCAAAGATACGTTACAGCATGATATGCTATAAGCGCACTTGTGCCTAGCTCACAAGTGAAAATGCACCCTCATTTAGTTAATATGTAAGTCGGATAATTAGGCTGTTTTTAGTGAAAATTATATGCTTTATTCAACAAGATGCATTAATAAAGGTCTCAGCTCAAGATTGATAATCAATCAATTAAATAGAGCTGTTATCTCTTTCCCAGGTGCGGATCTAGACCGGTTGCACAGGTTTAAAAAAACCGGTCAAATTTTAAGACCTATGTTTCTCCGTAAATCTTGAATTTTTGATCTAAAATTTCAATTCCAACAATTGCTGCACTTCTCCCTGACTGATTACAGTTCTTCTGTTTACATAATGAATTGAACCTCCACAAGATTCCGACAGAGTTCCCAGCTTCCTAATTAATCTTTTATCCCAGAGTATCCGAAGAATTCAAAATCGAGAAAATCAGTCGCCACTCGAAGTGACAGTTCGGAGTATGTTATCTATGCGACAATATTGAAACCGGTGGCTATTGTTTTCTGAAAACCTGTGAAAACCGGTGCCCCTATTACGGTGGCCCACAACGTCCACGACGCAATCGTTTTCACGGCAAAGTTTCATACTTCTCAAGGGACACTTTCCACACTTTCATAACGAGGCTTGTAGCCCGATTAGTAAGGAAAACATAATTGAAAAGGAGCACAATGTTCTGCATTTGATTTGAAATAATCAAATCTTTGGATAATTAGTTTAAGATAATTTTCATTTCCTCAAAGTTGGAGTCACAGACCTTAAATCTTGGCTGGTGTGGCCGGCCAGTCTGCACAGTGTGGCATGTGTAAACCAGAGATATCTTTGTCCTACAAGTTTCTTGGAGATGGTACATATCGATTTCACATTCGTAAAAAACACTGCACCCCCGCCCATAGGCGTACGGGTTGAGTTCAGGCAAGGCTGTCTTAAATTTTTTCGCCCAAAAAAATCCTAATGTCTAAATTTTCACGGAGTTATCAAAAGAAATACAAATCTCTTCAACCACGGCAACTAAATATATCGATTATTTTATCAATATCTTTTTTACGGACAGGAGTTGAATTAACATCATTAGCAACTTTTAACAATATTAATGGACCAATAGAGTTGTCAAGTGATGACGTCACAAAAATATATTTGGCCATAGCTCACCCGATTTTTGACAAATTTAACTGATTTTGCGTATATGGGAGTATTTTATGGCGTTCTTTTATTTCATGTGGGCAAAATTAGAAAAATCTAAAATAGTTTTTGTGACGTCACGCTTGAGAACTCTATAACACACAGGGCTGTAACGAGGTAAAGCACCCCGAAACCGGTCAAAATTTTGGCTAGATCCGCGCCTGCTTCCCCTTCCTCTGAAGAACATAGTTGCTTTAATGTGGTTTCGTGGCAGTTTGGGGGATGGGGGGGGGCCATGTTGGAACCTTCTTGCATTGTGTTCTCTTGAGTATTTTGGTGTTCACGCCCAGGCTGATGTAAAGAAAACTCCTTTGCGCACATTTTGGTGCAAAATCACTTGCATAAAAATCCCTAAGATTGATAAATATTGATAGCGTTTGTTTTTACCTTAGTCCTGTGAATTGCAAAAGAAGATTGATAAAAGATTCATGTATATAGATGAGCTGAAGACATGCCGTTGATACTTGGTAGTACCACATACTTTAGCATAAAGTGTACATTATGCAAGCTTTGTTACAAAGCTAAAAATTGATGTGTCTGCACAATTAGTTTGCTTCGAGAATAGGGGATGTTTGGAGCTGTAGTTTGGCCTAAATTTATCGACGTAAAAAATTGTTTGGATAAATCCAATCGTGTGTTGGGAATCAATCTAGCAGATTTGCCTAGTTCCTTCCAATCCATACTTTTTCACATATTTGTCTCATTCTCCTTTGGGATAATTTGGGATAACTCAAACCTTACATATTCACTTTTTATTTCTGCACACAAGAACATTGTGATGGTGTTTCTTGGAATCAAAACAGAATCTCTTGCGAAATCAACCATTATATCTAGCCAGCTTGTAACAACCGTGAAATTATTTTTATAATCCAATATAATTTGAAGAGATTTAATTTCACTTTATGTTACTTAACTTTTACTCATGTAAAAAGATCACAAAATGAAGGAATATGCTTTTATGATAAAAAGTGAAGAAATTTATAACGCATTATTCAAAGAATTAGTGCCCATGCCGACCAAACATAGTTGTCAGAATTTTCATTAGCTTTATCTTCAGGTTACATAAATGGCAGATCAGTTACTGTGGAAACAGTTTTTGGCAATCTATGTTAACCATGGCTAGATACCAACGAATTAGAAATATTATTCAGAGATTTCTACCTCGAAATTCTTGAACGAGGATTATTTTTAAAGTCCTTGAACAGGGGTTCAAAGAGGGTTGAACGAGGGGTTGAAAAAGAGGTGAACGATGCTTGCAAACAAAAGCCAGCGACGAGGAAATCATCAACACAAGCAAGACTAAAAACAAACAGTTAACGAGTCTCTCTTGCATAAATAGTCAGGGCCGCCGAGGGGAGGGACAAGGGGATGGGTTACCCCAGGTATAGAGAGCCTCATAAAGTAATGAATTCGACAATAAGAATGGGAATAATCAAATGTAGCAAAAGTATGCCTAAAATTAGCACAGCGTTGAAAAAAAGCAAGAAATATTGCATTCTAAGCTAATCTGGAGGGCGTGGTAGCAGAAATTTTCTGCACGCTCTGCTTGTAGGGGGCCTTGTATGTAATCACACCATGCAGAAAATTTTATAGCTGAAATGCAACGCCTGCCATAAATTGCGGAACACCAACAGCACATGTAACCCTTTCAAACGATGTTGGATTTTTTCCATGCAAATTTTCTACTTGGATGTATCTTGTAATTCTTTAGTTTAGGTTGGTACCATTTCTGAATAATATTACCTATATAGTTGTTTAAACTTGTATTAAAATTTACATATTGTGTTGGGTAAAGGGAGCAGTTAGCTTTTTCTATAGGCGTGAATTGAAATTAGCTGAAACTGCTAAATTGTCCCAAGATTTTTGGCAAGCATTGTACATGAAGACAATGTAGCTATATCTGAATTCTGTGAAATCTGATTGAGCTAGGGGTATGGAGCTTGGGGTTCAGAGGTCTGAGACTCCCTTGTCCATGCCAACTGTAACCCCTTTTCACTTCCTGCCGCATCTATACCCTCTTATGTCCTTGCCATTCTCCAAGTTTCCTATCAATCTTTATACATAAGACCGTTCTTTTTGCTTTTAAAATTTCCGATTCATGTATATTGATATCATTTATAGATTTTTTTATTCATACAAAAATTGAAAACCAAGAAATATGACCTCAATTTTTCAACCAATGCAAAGGAACAGTTGAACACTAGGGCGACAACCAGTCTTAAATTTTCAACGTTGGATCAATAATTATGTTTTGTTCTTATTTTTACATCATAAACATTAAATCGAAAAGTGAAGTTTAATATAACAAGAAAACACGATGAATGTGTAGAAATTAATCGATTAGGTTAAAATGGAAAAGCAGCCAAACCTAACCGAACAGTTTTTTTAAATATTGTGTTGATTAGATCAACTTTATTATTTGAATGCTTGATCATTATTGCCAAATTACCAACAATATGAGAACTGCTAAACTTTTCAGATGAGTTTGAAAAAGATCTAAAGGAAATTAAAAGTTCTCTTTACATTCAAAGATGAACGGAGGAAGCATTAATTAAGCTGATTAACAAAACTAGAGTTAATCGCGGGGACTGGTTGGGAAAGTCGGCAAACTTCAAAAAAGTATATTATTGTTCGATATTATGGCTTGTCACGTGACAGTTACAGTGCGCACAGAACTAAATATGGTGTCTCGTTTTACCACGTGTTTGTGATTAGTGAATTGACTTCATGAAACGGTGTGCTCACCAAAGGCCTGTTTATATCAGCCAAATTATCCCACCGCTCAGCCCATAATCTAAAAATTTCATCCCACCATCCAGCTTCATCCCATTTTCCAGCGTGTATATGGAACAAATTCATCCCACTGAAGTGAGATCCCACCTCTCACGAAGGGGGATCTCACCTAAACGAACTGGCATATGCAAAGAATTCGTAATACGATAAATGGAACAATGCAATACGATAAATGCAAAGCATTTTATAGGACGGTGGATCTCACCTCTCAGCTCACAGGCCGGAAGGTGAGATGATTTTCTTCATATAAATAGTTCCCTCAAGCATCAACTAATAACGGTAATCGAAATATAACAACTGTCTCAAAAGGCAAGAGGCTTTGAATGCAGCCCAAAAACGTTTTTTGACAAGTTTCTCTTTGTTTGGCATGTCAGCTTGAATGGAATGGTTCTTTATCTGAATAAAAGCGAAATCATATGTTTAGTGACGAAAATTTTAGAATCATTGAGCAAGCAAGTTTGTCTTTTCATTTAGGGTTTTTGGAATCTCTCTACATCAAAACAAATCGAGTTGTGTAGAGAGAAAGAGTTCGCTTTCTATCTTGGACTCTTAACCTGGTGATAGGTTATCGACCGCCGATTGGCCGTAAACAAAGAACGAGAATTAGTTAAGCCTGGACACTATTTTCCGTTCGTTAGTGTTATCTCCAAACTTCGAAATTCACCTGCAAAGAGCTGCATGCAAATTGTTATTCGAACGTCTTCATGCACAAATGAGTTGTAGTTAACACATGCGTAATAATCGGTTGGTTGGGCATCCTTGGTTGGTTCGTGTAAAGCTTATTGCCTCTTTGTTGACAACAGTCATATAACAATTTACTCCATTTTTGTCCACGGTGAAGTGTTTAGCTGGCAAGAAGCAGTGCCATTGAATTAAGTTCGAGCCGTTGCAGACCTTGAGTTGTGGTTTGTAACCGCCCTTTATAGTGGATAATTTATTTCGTAGCATAAGTGGGTACACCAATCCTTCTTCATAAAACGTTTGCAACACCTTTCGCAATATCTGTTGATATAGCCAGGGATCGATCGCATGAAATGCACAGCCCTATATTATACAAAACATCAATAAAACGTGTCTTCTTTTCTCGCCAAAGGTTGTTAATGTATAGTTGATTGGTGTTGGGTATTCTCTTTTTCTCTGTATCTGACAAAGTATCGACTTCTAAACACTTTTAAACGCAAGTAGATGCAAAATTGTGATATATGCGTTTAGATCTTCCATTGCCATTTAAAGATATTTTAAATAAAATAAAGTTTTAATGGGATGTGTCTTCCAAACTGTCGAGATAACTCTGTTTCCACCGCACTACTAGTTCTGATAAGCCTGAAAATGGATGTTATAATTCTTCAAGCACCAAAATGATTTTTAACCTAGCCTCTATTTGATGTAATGTTGAAATGTGAACGTTTCTTGAATACTTTTGGTTAAATCCTTTTGGAAGGCATTCAATGCAAGACTCTGTACCAGGCTATGTTGAAACCGTGTTGGTGTATCACTCTGGAAATTGTCGTGCAACTTTCATGGCAGCTACGAAAGATTTGTTCAATTGTCAGCCTCGTTTTCATGCTGCGAAAAAATACACAAACCTTTAAGCTCTGCAGAGTGCATTTCGCGCTTGAATTTCGCGCTTGCATTTCGCGCTTTGATTTCGCGCTTGCATTTCGCGCTTGCATTTCCTGCTTGCATTTCCCGCTTGCATTTCCCGCTTGGATTTCGCGCTTGAATTTCGCGCTTGAATTTCGCGCTTGCATTTCGCGTTTGCATTTCCCGCTTTGACTGAGGCCACAAAAATGTAGCAAAGTCTAAGCAGGCTGAGACGATGCAAAGTTACATGCTTCCATAAAAAAGTGCTTGACTTTTGGTAGCAGAAAGTATAACAGCAAATAGAAACAAAATTTAAATGCGGCATTCTTTGCAGTAAGTCCCCAAGGATACTTTCACAGAAATCCTCTTACGTTCCCATGGCTACTTAATCTCTCGCCCCAGTTTTGAAATCAATTTAAACATGTTGATTAAAAGAAATGTTTATGGAAAAAGTTAAGACCATTTCTCTATATGCTAATTTGCCATAATCTATTTAGCATCACGAATGAAAGCAGTGTACAGATTAGTGAAAAAGAGTATTTATAACATGAATTCATAAACTGTAAGGTTCTTTTTAACTTTTCAAAGCCGATTTGACTTTTTGAAGAATTTCGCTGTTATGGCAAGCGTAATTATCAGCAGTCTGCAATTCTGATAGCAAGTACGAATCCAAATGGGTAATTATTGTCATGGTGCTCAAACTGACAAAGCCTTGCTTTATTGTAAGCACGTAGACAATATTGCTGGGAAAGCCTTGGTGACCACAACCTATTGCAGCTCTGCAAATCCGCAAAAATCTCTCAACAAACACTGAGCAGTTGTCAACTCGTTTTTAAGCATACATTGTCTGGAATCAGCCATTTCTGTTGTATTTGTTAGGCTTTCCTTTTATCTGACTTAATTTTGCAAATAAGTTTGCGAAAAGCTTCAAAATCTGGATGAAAAGCGACACAATCTCTGCAATCATCATTACCGGTAAAAAGTTCTGGCACAGAAAGAGCTGCAACAACTTCGTGCCTCGGTTTGAAAACGATTCCCTGCCTCGTTGATATCATTTTGGTCAACTGAAACAGTAGAAGTAACACTGAATTCAGAATAGATCTTATTACTTCAATTATCATATGTTTGTAAACTGAAAAGATAGAGAAAACACACAGAGGAATACCTTGTTAATTTTACTTAGGTATAAGTCTTTCTATATCTTACAACAGAAATTCGTCCACTTTTAATCTGTTTACAGCTTTTTAGCCGATCAGGATTCATTTCTCGAGCCATGCTTGTATGTACAATATTGACATTAAAAGAAACATATCAACGTTAAGCATTACATATGCAAGTGCCACACCAAGTTTAAACAGTTTCCTTGGTAAAATGTCTGGTTCTTTTGCACTTAAATATGATATTTGTAAAGATATTAATTGCACCTGTTGGGTCTTGGAAAGGCGCCAGCTAGTTTGAAATATTTGCCTTGGGGATTCAATATTCTGCATTCTTCTTATGGCGAAGGTTGCATTATGGGGGAATTCGGAAAAGCTTAGATGCAAATAACATCAAAGAACATGAACAGTATTTCTTGTGCTTGCACAACGCAAGAAGTTAATTGTTTCTAGGTGACATTCTTTGCCGCGATTCTGGTTCTTGTGCTCTTCTTTCTTTTTATCGAAAATCAAATCCAAATTGTTAAAACAAAAAAGGTAGTGAAGTATATGAAAGGTGGATCTTTGGGCACCTAGAAAAGCCCCCTTTAAGCACTGCGAAATTCAAACTACTAGCTTTTATGGCATTTAGTTTGTGGTGTATATTTATCAAAGAAATAAACTGAGAGAGAAAACGATCGGAGAATTGACGATTTAGCTCAACTAAGAGTTGACCGAGTTGAGCGTTAGTTAGAATGGTTTATAAACCCTAGTCAGGATAAACAACCCTTTAAAACACTGTTAAAGAAATATCAACATACAACAGTACACGAATTCTTTTCAGTAAATTCTTCGCATATTCAATACTGAAAATAGCATGTTTGTAAATTGTGTACATAAACACTCTTGGAAAGGAGACATGCGCCGAGCTTATACTGGGAACTTAACTTTTTACTGCTTGGCCTAAAATTTCCTTAAAATCTTTGAGCATCTACATAACACACCACGAACAAACACGCTTCAAAATGATTAAAACGTGTATCTTGTCGCAAGAGTCCTAGGCCGTTCTAGAGGCAGCGTCCCATTACCCCCTTCGGGCAACCTATCATCAGTTCCCATAATTTGCTCCATTGCCCGCTGGAAGTGGGGGCTGGCTTTGAACTTGCAATTGTATGAAATGTCGGGCAATGACTGCAACGAATCACTTCTCGCACTTCTTGTGGATAATGACGTGCTTGTCTTCCTTTTAGGTCCAGTATCCAGCCTGCCTTGTTTCGATAATTCATGCGCCGTCAGAACAGTCTCAAAGAAAGAGTTCCTTCCGTTTTTCAGCCTATTTGTACTTTTACGCCGTTCAATGTCTTGTTTCCTTTTGGTAATCTCTCCAACATCAGAACTCGCAACAATATCAGCTGGTTTGCAGTTCCGCAGACGTTCTCGAAGCATTTTCCAATACTCTGCCGTCGCCTCGTCATCATTTAGTTTATCACTCTGCTCATTTTGCTCAACTATTGTGTCACTTTCCTCGTTTTGTTTGTCACTTCTAAAAGCTTCTTTCTCAATAAACCCCAGCCTCGGTTAACACTTTTGTTACCATTACTTTTGGGTTGGTCCGATTTATTGTCTTCTTGAATATTCGGATTCGATGTATCCTTGCTCTTGTTCGTTTCCGGACTGTCTTTTATATACTTCTCGATAATCTCCTTCCTTTCAGAACAGCCTGCGCTAATTTTCCGAGTTCTCCACACATCGACATCGGACGAGCTCCTCGTTTTCCGTGCGCTTCCCAAAATTTGATCAATCTCGCGGCCATTATCAAGCACCTGCCTCAAAGGTCCACTTTTAGTTCGTCCCAGTCGTTTCTTGCTCATATTCCCAACCGGCTCTTCTTCAACAGAGACCAAGGACACCTGATCATAACCGTCGTCTCCCTCGACTGAACGATTATTGCTGATCGCGTTCTCCTCAGCGATTCGCGGTGACGTCGTGTCTGAAAATGACGTTCCTGCTCGAGGTCGCTGCAAAATAACCGCAGAACCGCTTATCTTTCTACGAGGCCTGGAACCTACAATGTCATTTTCAATGCTGCCGCGGCTTTTATGGTTGCCACTTGTAGATCTTTCTCCTGTCCTTTTGACATCACTGCAAATCTCTAGATTTGACATCGTTCTGGATCGCTGGCTGATAAATTTTGGCGTATTTGTTGTTCCGTTTTGTGCCGCACGACTTCTTGACGTTTCAACATTTGCTTCTGCATTCGTTCTCCGTGGTGCTCTTTTTATTAAGTTCCCTGAGGCAAGTTTGTCCCGCTTCAAAGCAGAATCAGAGCCGCGCGCTGATTTCATCAATCTGATGCTTTGTTCCGTTTTCCCGTGCGCTGTTTTGTCTTTTACTACATTGTTTTCTGATTTGATTTTTGCATCCATCTCCTCTGAAAGACGAATAAAAAGTTTTTATTTTTCCCTGTACCTGCTCTTTTATGCTTCCCAAATTGCCACCTGCAGCACATTTAACAAATTCATAAAGAAGCACTTTAAAGTAACCTTCTTCAAGTAAGGCTATGATTTCCATTATCAACGCAAAAAAGTGTCAGAAAGATTTTAATGCTATTCAAATTTGGCCAGCAGGTAATTAAAATAGAATCAATGTCCTTTAAGATGTTATCTAGGTTCAGAAGCCTAGAAGAAACCTGCTACTATTTGCGCGGGTGGTCGGCAAACTAACGCTAGGAAATTGAAAATGGTGTCTTCTAAAAAGAAAGTATTGGCTTAATTGGTTATAACTGGCTTTTTTAAGGTTTTATCACAATGCAACCGGTTCGTATTTGTGAGCACTTGCGCGTACACTGCTTAGACTCTGCCATTTGCAAATGGAAAAGAAACCTACACCTGCCGTTTGATTTTTGATCAGGCCGAAACTCTTTCAAATCCATCATAAGACGAAAGTAACTGGGGAACTGGAGGGGATAATGGGGGGACTAGAAGGAATAGTGAGTGACCTGGAAGGACTTGGAGACGGTGGAAATGTCCCCCTTGTTCTTAATAACATGGGCTCCGACACAGGTTGGAAAGTGGGGGTCAAGGCCAAATCAAACACCCACAACAAAAGATTTTGACAAAAATATAATTTTTTCCAAAAAAGTGGGGGGGGGGGTGAAGCCGTGTAGCTTCACATAAGGATGCTCTTCAGCATATAATTTCATAACTATAACTTCATTGTGGTGTATGACTAATAAAAATAAAAATAATGAAAATACGAATATTAATACAGGAATAAAATACTTCAGCGAATGAACACTGTTATCAATATGTGTCCTATAAAAGTAAAGCAAAGAAAAGTTAAAATATTTCCAAAAAATAGATCCTTTTTCTTAGTTACAAGAAATTTTAAATAAGTTAAGGTTTTGTTACAATGTTCTTTGAGGCTCTTTTCATATTCAAAAGGAATATGATTATGAATTGTAAACTTAAGGCCTCTGAGCAAGTCTCTGAGCATTCTACTGTAGAATTTTCATTGACGTTTTGAGTCCAGTGGTGAAATGAAATGAATACAGTATAATCCGGTTATAACGTACTTTAAGGGACCAGTGTAAGCGAAGTGCGTTGTAACGAGGGTAAGTAAAAATTGACTAAAACCAAGCTCACCTTTTGCTGGGACCAAGCACACCAGTACGTTATATCCGAAAGTATGTAATAACCGAGTACGTTATAACGGGATTCTACTGTATTCCATTAAACGTTTTAGTGAACGTTGGCTAAACAGTTATAACATGTATAATCGTTCACCCGTCATTTTAACGTTTAGGAAATACCGCCAATCTTTCGCTGCTCTTTCGTGAATGGGATATATCGCTTTTGTTCTTTTTTTATACACAGTCTAAAAAATACATTTTACAATAACAAGATTACAAAGACGATGCCAATGAGAGCATGATAGGCATGGCTACCCATTGACCTTAACAAAAAACAATACAGTAGCACCAAAGGCTATACCAAAATCCTGTTTAGTCCATGCGGATAGCTGGTTCGATCAAAAGACAAAAAGGCTATAACTTGAAAAGAAGAGAAAATTTGGACAAGATTTTGGTGTGGTCTTTAGTGCTGATTCTTCATTACAGTACATTTAATGCTAAAAGATAAATAGAGAAGGATGAAATGTTAGATAAGTTAAACAATTGTGGTATTTTCTGGTGGTACAAGAAACGTTCTGATGTATGAATGAATTTTAGCGTTGATTCCAAATTTCTTTTATTTTCATCATATGAAAATCTTTTGTCACCATACAACATAAAACGCACAAGGGTTTGATTTGATGGGTTTGAAATGCTATTTAGTTGTAGTATTTCGTTAATCGCGCCAAGGAGATCACACCTTTGATCATCATATGCCTGGCAATGCAGCAAGAAGTGTTCAGTATCCTCAATTCCGTCGTTAACTAGGCATATAGGATTGACTGTGTCCCGAAAGTTATGACTGAATTTGTGTGAATTTAGTTTACTGAGGCCTACGCGTAGCTGAGTGAGAATGGCGACACCTTTTGGATCATAAATTCCATAAAGAGGCTTCTGGGCAGGGCGGATAAGAGAAGATATTCTATTTTTGAATAAGCTGACTGTAGGCGATTCTCTGATCTCAGAGGCAAGGCTATTCCATTCTTGTAAACAATTTGGGTAGAAGCTTGACTGAAAGCGCTCTGTTCTTGCATTTTTTCGCCCAACGACAGCATGATTTCTAAGTGCGTAAGATGACAAACGAGTTTGTGGAAAGGATGTCTTGTATATTCCGGAGCAGGGTTATTAATGAACTTAAAGAAGAGAATTAGACGCCTACTCCACCTTCTGTCATTTAAAGATTCCCAGCCAAGCTCCTCGTATATTTTATTTCTCGAAGTACCTTTCCATGCACCTGTTATAGCTAAGCCAGCAGAATACTGGACTGATTCGATTCTTTCCATTTGGCGATGTAAGAGGATTTCATGGCTTTTGTTCTTTTGAGTGGCCAAGTAACTAAAATGTTCAACAATGCTCAATGACTGAACAAGTTAGCTAAATGGTTGTTTCATCAAACGCTTTTCACTCCGAGCAAACATTCACCGAAAAATGTTCAATGACTGAACACGTTAGCTAAATGTTTTGTTCAACAACAAATGAACTAAATATGCTTTTGAGCAAAATTTGTTCACCTATAATGATTGTTTATCTGGCGTCCCTTGAAAGAAGAAAAATTATAGATGGCCCCCCTCAAAATCCCCCCCCCCCAATATCCTTCATCTCTCTGCGTCTGCATTCTGTGAACCTATTTCTTGTTTTCATCCCAGCTTCAGCAAATTTGGGTAAAAGTTTCTAGTTTTTGATGAAAAGTGGACAAAGCTGAACGCCTTCTCTAACGAACAGAATATTTATGCGTTGCGTGATCAAAGTTGCAGGTAAATACAATTAAGTAAACATGTGCCATTGCTCAGAAAGCAAAGGAGACGCGCTATGAAATCTTTGAAATGAAAAATAAATATTACACTTTAAATTTTCAAACGAAATAAAACAAAGTTTTAGACATTGAAATACTCAATTCCTTTTTTCGATTAAACATATTGCCAATACAAAGCGTCGTCGGAGAACTGTTCAAATTTGCGGCTTGCTTCAAAAGGGACCAGCGGTGGCCACAGACTCTTGAAACAGGCGACTATATAAAAGAAGTGTTTTTTTAAGTTTTGTTGAAAACCGATATCAAGTCTATTTAGATAAGCCAATAGTTTTTCACATCTTAGCCAATATATAGTTTCATTAATTGTCATTCAACATCAGAATCCACAGTTAGAACTTCAAACAGGACCTCTCGAATCGAATCCCCATAAAACAAAAACAGAGTACATTATATAGAATACGCATTAAGAAAAATCCAATAAATTCACTAATCTTCCAAATCACGAATAATTCAAAGAAGCAGCATATTGAGGTCAAGGCCGGTACAAGAAAAGCTAAAAAGTTCTAGTGTTGAAATTACTGTACTACTGTAAAGCCAGGCTCAACCAAGAGGCTCATTTATAACTTTATACTGCGGCCAAGGCTCGATTTAAATTTGTCAAGCGACGGTGAATTTGTAAAATGCAAAGTTTGGCATTGAACCTTCTCTGCTAGAAATGTTTAAGTGACCTAATGTTGTTGATTCTGTGCTCTTAACTCTAGAACGAAGCTTTACCTGTCTCAAATCGTTAAAAAGATTCCGCAGAAGCACCTTCCCTTTCCCATTCACCACAACACATTGCGATGTTCAGTTCCTTCTTGTCTTGTTTCCACACTAAATGCTCTTTAAAGACACGTTTGTCAATGAATTTACTTGGAAAATACTCAAATTGGTCGCTAAAAAGACCATTCACCGCAGCTTGATTGGCCTAGCAAATATTTGCGCAGGCAGTTGATTCTAGATCTGCATATTAAGCAATGCTTCGTAAAAATTTTCAGTCACTGTGTGTTCTTCAAAATCTGTTGGCAATGACATCTCCAGCATTCGTTTGTTTTGGTAATCGACGTGCGAGACTCGATCCCACCGACTTGCAACACCACGTTTTCTGTCGCGGAAACAAAATGCAATGAATCGTCATCATCATAATCATCATTATTGTCATCATCTGCCTCTTTGATTTGAAGTTCTCATTTTTCACGTTCGGATAACTAAACGGAAAACCACAGCTGCACAATATATCCTTCTTATTCTTCAAAACATTTTCCTGGATGTCAAAACAGCATGTTGCTGTACCAAGAAAACGCTAAATTAGTGAGAAAGCTCAATTTTCTTTCCCTCTGCAATCAAATTTTAATGGCCAACAAATAGTTTATAAAGCTTGGAATGATTTTGGTACTGTCTACCTAAACCGCATTCTGTCATTTACCGTCATTTAAAATTCTCACAAATGTCTCACCTCATGTTTATCAAGAAAAACAAATCTTGTTTCCTTCTTGATTGTCTCTGTTTAGCTTAAAGCGTGTTCATGCTAGGAGACCCATCTTGAATTACAAATAACATGATATGCAATCTTAACTCGCAAAGAACACTTGCAAGCAGTAGCGTAGTGAGGTGGAGGCAAAAGGGGCGGACGATATCCCCCTCCCCCCAAACGACAAAAGATATATTTGAAAAAGTGCGTTATCTTGCCTTCCGAAAGGTGTGGGCCCCATTTTCCATAAAGCTCAACTCGCCTTTGCCCCCTCCCCCCAATCTTACCACCCTGGCTACGTCACTGCATGCCAGACTCTGCAAACTACTAAAGGAAAAGGAAGAGCCATGAGTTCATCCAGCAATTTTTCAGTACCTAAGTAGTAAAGAAGTAATGGCCTAGTGATATCAGCTATGTAAACATTACGAAATAGGAACGGAAAAGTCCCAACTTTTTTTCTAAGGCAATCGTGATCGTTTTTCATCTTAACAGAAGTATTCCAGTATTATGAAATCATTTCGATTTTCTTTGTTAAATCCTTTCTGATTAGCAAACTATCACACCGGAAAGCAAAACTGCATAGAAATACACTCATTTTTTTAGAAACTGGCTATGAGAAACGAGTATTGTACAGTCAGAAAAAGTTGAGAAACTTCAGTACTCGAAGCAAAAATATTAAGAGACTATAAAATCGTGATAAAACTAAGAACAACGAAATTTTGTAAAATCCAAGAACATTATTGCCCTGTTGGCCTAGAACTTAAAACACAAGGGATGAAAACATACTTCCCACATCTAAATACAGCATCGGAACGGAGGCGAATCTCTTGACGTGATAAAAGAGGTCATGAACATTTCATAACATCATTCATGACATCATAATTAAGAAACTCTTTAGAAACAATAAGTATTGAAATTTCAGGAACATTAAGAAACTGGAGTGCTCAACATCGACCTTTGTTTCTTATAAAAAAAGTGAGTGTGTATCGTGTTGTCCAAGTGCCACTTGGAAATTTTTATATATGTATTGGGTTAACACAAGGTTCCGAATTTGATCCCCGCCTCTTGTATATAACTCCAATCAAACCACTGCAAGCTTTGTTACGTATCTCCAGTATGAAATTTATTGATCTTCGTAAACTTCATCGGCCGTGATGTTGACGATACTATTAATGTCTCATCAAAAACAGGAGCATAATAAAGAAAAGGGTCTGGTGATTTTTGGTTACTATTTGTGGTTTTATGAGATTAATTGCGTTTAATTTGCAGTTTGGTATTTGTGAACAAATATTGTTAATAGTCAGCTTTGCAGCCCTATCTCATCTATCAAAATTGCAATTAAATTTTTCAAAAAATTCAGGATTTGATATGAATTTCTTTGATAATTACAAATGGCCGAAAATAAGGTCACTATAATGAAAAAAGCACTTTGGCCCCCTTGCTCCTCCTAACAAAGGGCAAGAGGGGCGGTTGCCCCCCCGCGCCCCCCTCTCCGGCGTCCCTGATTGAAGGTGTTCTGGAGTACAAACAAACAAACATACGTATTCTTTTCCACCGAAAAACACGGGCAAAAAATTTCCGGCTGTGTTAAGCCATATGGCTAGTCATGCTTCAACTTTGACACTAAAACGGAACGTCCTAAAACTGTTCCTGAAAACGAAACATTCTGCCCCATCTGGTGAGGTTGTCCTCGGTCCCACATCTTTTTGAGTCTACAGTTTTTCCTATACAGATCTGTTCGTTAGCTTGAGGGTTACGCTTATCAACATAATGGTCAATAAAATGGAAAGAATCTTGTAAAATTAATTGTAAATTGTAAAATCTCCAGATTGTGCAATATCATTAACGACAAACTAACATTGATGAACTTGTTTAATTAGTTGTGAATATTAAAACGTTTAATTTCTACATTTCGCAAAATGAGATATTATTTCAGAGGTTTATCTCATACCATAACATATATAAAAAATTATTCTTTTAACCTTTATGTGTTTGATCGTCTGCCTCAAACCATCGATTTACTCTTTTAAACAGTGAACCATTTGAAAACTTAGTTACACTATAATTTGATATTCCTAATCCTGTATAAAAAGAAATGTGTTTTCTTCAGCAAGTATATATTTAACAGGATTTAGGTTAACGCTTTCTTTTTAAAAAGCTACCTGTTTGGATAAATGTCATTCTTAATTAGATAAACGATATTTATTTTCATATTAGAATCTTTCCATTCTCTTGACTCAGGACATAGAAATCTTTATCGTTATAAACGACCTCCCAGTAAGATTTTTGATAAACAATGACGGGTCAAAGTAACAAAATATAGGTACAAAACAGACTTTCGGCTAGAATGATTTGTTTTGTAAATATTTTACTGAAAACAAAAATTATCGAATTCCCACAAACAAGGTCAAAAGCTCAAACATTGTCAACAACTCGTGGCTTTCAATCATGCTAAGAAGATGGAGAATTTGTAATGAGTATAGTATTTTTCTTCTATCAAAATCATTTTCGTTGATTCTCGAAAAAGACTCCCCCTTAACATGCTAATTTGCGTGTTTTTATAAGTCCTGATGGGGCCAAAACTACGATGAAAGACAAACCGCGATTGAAGACACATTCAGCGACGAATGAAAAAACCAAATTAAACGAAACATTAATGAAGAGACTAAAATATTTTGGAGTAAAATTTGTCACACAATCGACCAGAGGGTGGAAGGGGAGCACCACCACCCGAACGGAGAATTTATGAGACCAATCTATTCTGGTTCAGTTTTTTGCGTAGATTTCGAATTTGGGTGTTGATCAACGGTTTAAGGGGGCTTTCCCGAGATATGGGGGGTCTAAAGACAAATTTTGGGGTTAATTGCTATAAATTTGGTTTCCTCAATAAATTTCAATAAGATAAAGATAGATATGTTCTTTGACTATATCTATGATTGTTGGCTGATATGTGAAAGTGTTTTTCTATATTTAGAATTTAGGGGGTTAAGGGAGGTTAATATTTATACATGTTAAAGGTTCATATAGATTTTTTTCAACCTGACCTGTTTAAAAGATTAAAATAAGAGCTAATAACTATGTTAAAATACTAGTAACCGAAGAAATTTACCAATCAAACCTAATTTACAATATTTAATAATACTAAGGCTATAAAAAGTGAACGTAAAGATGAAATAAAAGTTGTCCCCGACTATAGTTGTTCTTTGAAGGTTTTCAAGGAGGGGGCCAATTTTGTAGCCCTTTCTAGACTGTTCCACAGTTTTGGACCGCGATAAGAAAAAGCCTTTTGGCCATTTATCGTTTTTAGCAGCGGTATCTTAAGATCAGTTTCTGATGAACGCAGAAACCGTTCTCTATCATCCGAACATTTTTCGAATATTTTTCTCAAGTAGTCTGGTGCAAGCATATTTAGAGATTTGTAAGTTAGCGTGGCTGTCTCCTTTCTTACAAGATTTCTGATGGTTAACCAGCCAAGATTCTGAATTATCGGAGCAGCAGACGCATCGTATGGGCTGCTAGTTACAATTCTGGCAGCTCTATTTTGGATTTTTTGCAACACGTCAAGCTTTGATTCATTACAGCAGCCCCAAACGGAACAACAGTAGCTCAAATGGGGCTCAACAATTCCTCTATACATTTTGATGAGGATGTCAGATGGAAGATATTTCTTAGAATACTTAATAAGTCCAAGGGCTCGAATAGCCTTGGTCTTGATAGTATCGATATGCTTGTCCCAGTTGAGCTTACTGTCTATCTGAACACCTAAGTATCTTGTGTTGGTGATCATTTCAATGTTCTGATCACCTATTGAAAAAGAAAAAGATGGTGGAGCATCAGGCTGGCTTTCGATCTTACGGATGTTTGGACCAGAGCCTATAACAAGTGACTGCGTTTTCACTACGTGCAGGGAAAGTTTATTTGCATGCAGCCAATCCTGTAGTTTCAAAAGATCTAAGTAGTTTCGAACATCCTCTGGATTTTGCGAAAGAAATTCATTAAACAGAATTAGAAAAGTCACCTTTCCACACGTGGTGTACTTGAGCCTTCTTGCTCTATCATTGGTTAAGAGGCTTGTCTGCACATATGTGCAATGTAATTTGCAACGCTTGATGTATCTCAAAAGGCTGTTTTTGCATGGTGGCTGCAAAGAGAAGTCTGTGATTTTTGACCCCTTGAAAAATTTTTTCAAAAATTTTTCCGTTGAATATCATGAACAGACCATAATTTATAGGATTACTTGATGTCCCTAGCTTTGCGAAAGTTGTGACGAATGCTTTTGTGCCTTGCATAAGCTTCCAACTCTTTCTAAAAAATACCTACCTACCTACCTTCCTTTCTACCTTCCTCCCTATCTACTTACCTACCTACCTCCCTATCTCCCTTTCTACCTACCTACTTACCTAGCTACATACCCACCTATCTATCCATCTACCTACCTGCTTTCCCGGACATCGAGCAGCCCCACTTCATATACACACTCTTCTTACATGAAAATAACGAAATATAGTCATTTCCACTAAATGCATGCAAGCCAAGCGGGGCTTCTTTTTGAAAGACCGATAATTCACAAGCAGCTAGAGCGAAGATTTTTCTATTTTTACCTGTCCCACTATCAATTAATATTTAGAAATGAGGTTCCTGCCTAGCAAGCAAGATAACAGGGATGTTAATATATCTCCAAAACAAGAACGCAAATCGTTTCTCGACCTTCGTTTTGTTGGAGAGCATGATGTAGAAGAAAGCAAACTTAAGCTAGTGATATTTATGCAGCGATATCTATATATATTTTTCTCTTTGCGAGAAAAATTGATCACTCTGTTCCCTAAATGACAGCCTTGACGAACCCAGACTTCTTTAACCAACTCAAACAACCGCTCTTTATTCTGTCTTTTCCTCAGAAACGCAACGAAGTTAGGAGGAATCTTTATGTTTGGCGATTTGATGAAGAAATGGTTCTCTGCATTCTTGATGAACCAATCGGCATGTTCGAATGCAATATATACACAGTTGTATTGTGTCCGTAATTCATTCAGCAACTTCGTTGCAAGCCTCCTGAAAGTGTCCGGTATTCTAACTGTAGATCGAATGGTGGCAACCAAATCAACAACAAAGCAAATTGCCTGAAACAACAAAGCAAATCTCCTCTTTTCTGTTCTTCATAAGGCTGGTAACTGTGGTATTTATATGTGCCTCATACTTCTAAGTACCTGAGCTTCACGAGACAGCGAGGAAGGGGATACTATCACCGAACTCGGCTTCTAACCCCTTTTTAACTTAGTCTGCTGTTCTCGTTAATGAAACAATACATTCCAGTTAAAGTCTTCATTGCGATGGATCGGTTCATGATTTGTTATATATGAACACACAGGAAAGAGTCAGCTTACACTGTTCTTCGCTTGTTTCAAGTACTTCGTTAGTGGGATCGTGGACAGCTGTAGAAGTAAGGGTAGTCGACTTCTTACTACAAAATACTGTGTACTTATTATACCAGGAAAGCTTGACCCTCTCTTAATGCTGGAGCTTTTTGCAGAGTTCGGCATGATGAAAGTTTATATAAGTTTCAATAGTTGCTTCTTCCCCTTATTAACATTGATAGGCCCTTGTTATTAGGCGCTTGCTTTCGTCACTGTTTTCTTTTTTAAGGAGATGCCTTTTTGCTTACTTTCTTCCCCTTTTGCGTTTTGTTTGCAAAGACAGATACGGCCTTCGTAAAGTTCAGGTAAAGCTGGCGATATCGTTAAAAGGCAAAGGATCTGATCTTCAATGACTAAATGAGTGCAATGAACAGCTCACCTTTTTTTTCTGTTTGCCATATATTCTAACTACTTTCATAGTTTACTCTTGCTTTAATCACAGAACATTGAAAATTATAATGAATTTGTAAGCAATGAAATTGCAGTTTTTAGGTCATTTGAAAGAAAATCCAAACCTCTACACTTTTACACCCTCAATGGTCTTCAATGTTGACAGGTAATTATCGTTTAAGGCTGTGAAGCAGGAGTGGCGGCATGGGGGGGCAAGGGGGGGCTTTAGCCCCCCCTAGATTTTTGTTAGCCCCCCCGTCGGCAGCCAATCAATTTTTGCTTTCTCGATACCGTCGGCACTTGATGGATGTCACCCGGTTTACATGTTTTTGAATGACATAAATAATCGAGGAGAAAACTGCACTGGCCGGTTTATGGTTTTCTCAATGGCTTTTCTTCGGCAATTTTATTATCATAGTGGCATTTTATCCTGTCGCTTCCGTGAAAGCTGTGACTTAATTTCATGGTGCTCCTTCGCATGACCCACAATACCATCGTGCTCCTCTCGGTTGAAATCTCTGTTGCTGCTCATGCGAATGCCAATTCATGCGAATCGTGCAGAGATGCTTGATTTAGATCATGTTTTGGACCGTTTCAAGGAAATTTACCCTAACAACAGCAAAATCACGCTGTCACAAATAAAGTCTTTAATGAATTTTAGGGATTCTCTTTTCGTTTCAAGACATTATTATTGCCAATGAAAACATTTCGATCATGAGCACATTTTGCGTAATAAATTTTTCAAAAAGCATTTCTTGTCCTTTTTCATCAACTATTTTTCAATAGCATTGTTCACCGCATAGCTTGCGACAAACAAATGGTTTAGAGAAAACCATCGATTAACTTCTTCCACCATAGATAGGAAGAAATATTCAGTGTCTTAGGTAAAATTGTGCCTCGTGTCCATTGCTCCTAAAGTTTCTCAGTAGAAGCGTCAGCTGCAATTCACTATGAGCTCCATATTTTCCTTAACATTCAAAAGGCATGCTAAGATGGAAAGAGGGATCTAAATTTAGAAGTAACTGACAACCTGGTATTTTTCAAGACCACGGCAAAGTTGTTGTTTTTAACTGCTGTAAAAAAGGTTTGCAAAAAGACAATAATTTTCAATAGGATTAGGAGGATTGCTTTAGTGAAATCTGCTTAAAAGAGTGCATTTTCCAGGAAACTAGAAGCATCACAAATCGAAAAATTTCCTGTCCCTTCGGCGGCAACCATGGTGCCGCCTCAGGTAGTAGCTATAGATTTTGCCCGTCCCGATATAGAGATTTGACAAGACTATTAGGAAGGTCGGTTATTATCATACAGAGTTAGATTGACAAAATGTATTGCAGAGGTTTGTGACACCAGCTAAAAAGTTTCAGGCAATAATTTTTTAATCAGGTAAATTTGCATTACACACCCCACCCCAAAAGAGGCTTGCCTCGCGACGGCCCTGCCTGTCGGCAATTTGACACATTCAGCGTCGGCAGTTACGGAGAATATAAACTTCGGCACCTTGAAGGTTTGTCTCTAGCGCCACCCCTGCTGTGAAGTACATACAAGTTACATTCCTAGGTTATGACACAAAACCATGTGTTAAAGTACTTCTCATAAAAATTTGCTTTTGGGCCTCATTTCCTTTCTGATCCATAGCAATAAAGCTGTAGTTATATGAAAATCTCCAAATCAGTCATTAAACATGTCTGAGAAACCCACATTCCTGGTGAGTACAAACAGCCATTTCCCTATGTGATCATACTACAGTACTCCATTCAGTTGCGAAAAATCAGTTTTTCGTGGAATTTACAGTATTTTGTACTCCTGTTTTGTTTTCTATGGCCCCCTCACTTCCAAATGGGAGTCAACAAGCATAGATATCATCAAAAAACTGACCTGTCTAT